TACAGATAATTCTTGAAGCTATCTAGTCATGATCCAACATCTGATGAATGAAATAACTAGTATTGATGTGTCGAAATAAATATCCTCAAGATAATTTATGTTTTTGTCTCCTCTGATCTTCTTAAATAATATCACTAGATTTAGTATCTATCTTCAATGTAAGAGATTAACAGCTACTGTGATATGTTTCCTTATGTTTCAAAATCTTGTAAAGTGTCCAAATGGAGAATCACCTCATAGATTAATTGAACAGCTTCAAATTAGAATTTCCTGTCCCAGAAGCACATAGTGTTTTAGTATTTTGAAACATTGAAATGTAATGTTTAGATGTAACTGTTTTATTTTCAGGGTGTGTTTCTCACTTATGATGAGGAGAAGATCTGTACCTACCTTTACTGTCGGGAGTCTGTTCAAGGTAAACTTCATACAACTGTGTTTCTATTCTTCATATATATTTAATACTTGATTCTGTTAGTGATATGTGTTTTTACGTCTTGATACGAGAAATCTTTGTTTTGGTAGCATTAAAGAATCTGTGTTGGCTTGTACTACTATTCTTCATTTACCAATTGTGAATAAAATAAGTGTGCAGTACTAATTCCTACACATCCAGTTTACCTCTATATTCCCCTTAGAGAACCCCTATTATATATGCTTGTGTTTCCCCTTCAGGGCCCCAGGTAGCCTTTGCAGGTGAGACACGTCTGCCGTACGGCCAGATTCCCATCATGCTGTATAATGGGGAGGTAACTCTACAAACAGAAAGTGGACGACTTGGCACACTCCTCCTGGAAACACACACAGCCCTGTTTTCTGACAACTTAGAGGATATGGAAAAGGAGGTGGTAAGTCAGATACACGTGGAATGAAACGGTGATCAATGGATGAGGTCATTTGTAAGATTCTGAATTTATCACATGTCTTGAGTTGTGTCACTATGCCATTGAAAAAAGGAATTTAAATCTCAACAAATCAACTGATTTATGATTTGAAAAGATTATTTTTTGCTCACCTGGCCCAAAGGGCGGCGTCCGTCCGTCGTCTGTCCGGCATCAACTTTTTACTTCAAACAACTTCTTTTGAATAACCAAGAGGCCCAGGCTGATGAAATTGGCCAGGAGCATGCTAGGATGAAGGGCTACAAAGTTTGTTCAATGAATATTGAATGACCTTTGCCCATTCGCAAGGTCACAGGGGTCAAATATATTAAAATCATTAAACAACTTCTTCTGAATAACCAGAAGGCCCAGGATGATGATATTTGGCCAATAACATGCTAGGATAAGTTTGTTCAAATGAATGACCTTCGCCCATACATTCAAGGTCACGGGGGTCAAATATGTTTAAAATTCTAAACATTTTTTTCTAAATAACCAAAAGGTCTAGGTCGTTGATAATCAGCCAGTAGCATGCTTGGATAAAGGGCTACCAAGTTTGTTCAAGTGACTCATATTCAAGGTCACCGGAGTCAATCGTCTTAAAAACCTTTAAACAACTTCAGCTGTATAACCAAAAGATTCAGGGTGATGAAAGTTGGCCAATAGCATGCGGGGAGGAAGGGCTACCAAGTTTGTTCAAATGAATGACCTTCGCCCATATTCAAGGTCACAGGGGTCAATCATCTTAAAAACCTTTAAACAACTTCTTCTGAATTACCAAAATTTCAAGGGTGATGAAATTTGGCCAGTAGCATGCGGGGAGGAAGGGCTATCAAGTTTGTTCAAACGAATGACCTTCGCCCATTTTCAAGGTCACAGGGGTCAATTGTCTTAAAAACCTGTAAACAACTTCCTCTGTAAAACCAAAACACCCAGGGTGATGATATTTGGTCAGTAGCATGCTGGAATAAAGGGCTACCAAATTTGTTCAAATGAATATTCAAGTTCACATGGGTTAATTGTCTTAAAAACCTTTAAACATCTAGTTCTGAATAACCAAAAGGTCCAGGGTGATGATATTTGACCAAAAGCATGTGGGGATGAAGGGCTACCAAGTTTGTTCAAATGAATGACCTTCGTTCATATTCAAGGTCACAGGGGTCAAATGTCTTGAAAACCTTTAAAGGACTTCTTCTGTATAATTAGAAGGCCCAGGATGATGATATTTGGCCAATAACATGCTGGGATGAAGCACTACTAAGTTTGTTCTAATGAATGACCTTCGTCCATATTCAAGGTCACAGGGGTCAAATATGTTGAAATATTTTAACAACTTCTGTATAACCAAAAGGTCCAGGGTGATGATATGTGGCCAGAAGGATGTTTGCATGAAGGGCTACCAAGTTTGTTCAAATGAATGACCTTGGTCCATATTCAAGGTCACAGGGGTCAAATATGTTGAAATATTTAAACAACTTCTTCTGTATAACCAAAAGATCCAGGCTGATGATATTTGGCTAAAATGATGTTTGCATGAAGGGCTACAAATTTTGTTCAAATGAATGACTTTTGCCCATATTCAAGGTCACAGGGGTCAAATATGTTGAAATCTTGAAACGACTTCTTCTGAATAACTAAAGCATACAGGGTGATTGCTTGTCGATGTGAATGACCTTGACACACTTTCATGGTCACATCTGGTCCATAGTGCATAAATCTTTAAAAGTCATCTTTTCAATAAACAAAAGGTATAAAGTGGTGATACTTGGCAAGTTGCATTCTGGGAGGAAGGGCTTTGAAGTTTGTTCAACTTAATGTCCATGTTTGACTTTCAAGGTCACAGGGGTCAAATGTGTTTTAATCGTTTAACAGTTTCTTCTGAATGACTTGAAGTCAAGACACTGATATTTTTCCTGTAGCTTTATTTTAGTCCACTGTTAAGGTTACAATTGTGAGATTAATACCAGGTAAGCGATGCAGGCCCATTGGGCCTCTTGTTCATGATCTACTGGATGTTTGTAAGTTGAATTGAACAAAAATGAAAAGTACAAGTATCATTGATATTAAATTGTTTTTTCCAGGCTGTGTTATGTTTTGTAATTTTAACTAGAGTTGTAGATAGCTGTTATACATGTTATCTCATATTTAATTTAGGTTCTGTATGTTTGGTGAAAGTTAGGATATTTCGGGGAGATGTCTCTATTTCCTCAAGCTTAGCCATTTCTTAATTTGTAGGCACTGCTTTGATGGAGACATTATATTTAAAAAAAAACTTTTTTCATTTTAGATGAAATCAGCATTACATCAAGGGACCCTTTTGAGAAGGTAACTAAAAGTTGACTAAAATAGGGTTTATGTTACAGTATGATAAACACTCATTACCCTACTGTCTATTTTAGTCATTATACATTTATTGACCTTATTGAAAGGTAACACCAATCTTTGTTTTCTCAAGATAAGATATATTTCATATGATCTGTCAGACAGAGTGACAGATCAGGGCAAAGCCAGATTGAAACATGGTTTATTGAGGGGGAACAAAGAATGGTGTTTCCCTACGACAAGGGCAGTAACTATTTCATTTAATTGAAAACAAAAAGACAATAACAAAGATGTTCAGACCAGAGTGCCATTGTTACTTAGAGCTCATGTGTGATGCATCTTATTCATTTCTTTAGAGAAGCCTTGATCAGACTTGAGTGATTGAGGGAAGCACAATGTTTATTTCCTTGTCGTGTGATTAATACAATCCAATCAGATATGTTGTTATATGAATGATGTGATGTATGATATATAATATTGGTTGTTCAGAAGAAAGTCAAACCTCATTTATTGATGATCATCGCATTATTAAACAGATTCAAAAGATATTGAGTATGTAAATATGAGAGTACTCATGGAATGATTGCGTAAGCCAATTATTGTCAAGTGCATCAAAGTTCAAAAGGTTATGGAATTAATTAATATTTTTGTTTGAAAATTTAAGACATAACAATTCCTTGCAGATTCAAGGACGCCTGGAACTTATGTAGCCAGATGAATGACCTGGTGTGCTGGTTAGAGCTAGGAAGGGGGGCACTGTCCAGTCTGGAAGTGGACTTTGGTCAGTACCAGGCAACACTAATTCTTACAATGATATTCTTAAAACTCAAAAAATCTAGTAAATGTCTAATGATCTTCAGACTATTCAACAGTTGTAGACTGTACATTTTATCTGTCATGCAACAGAAGTTAACAGCTACATATTTGTGTTTTTTTCTGCCTTTACATCTTTAATCAATTGCTGTAAGCTGTGAATGGGAGATGTGACAGCTAGAGGTTTTGATAAATGAAAATCCACCTACATGTATATGGCAGCATTCTGTTGTACTTGTATGTTTTTTGTGTGATGCAGCTACAACAATTATCTGTTTATAATTAGGACAGTGCACATTCAGTAATAAAGTATTAGCTTGTCCACAGAGCTAGTATCAATGGTGATTTTCACTATGATATCACATTGAATATATATACCCGTTGAAATTGATGTCAATTTGTCATATATGGAGATTGATTTAGTAACAGAAAATGTATAAAATGCATCTTTCCTGCTTTAAGATAATGACCGTTTTATATGACACTAGATGCAAGTTTCTAAGTACATTAAAAACATTTGTGCTGTGTGTTGTAGCTATGCGAGTGTACAGGGAGATAGGAGATGTTGGTATGGTCACCTCTCTCCAGCAGATCAAGGTAATTATTCTTAAGGTGTAAAATTAGTTCAACTTTTTAAGACTTGATTGATATTCACATTTACCCTATTCCGTCTTTGCGTATTGCAGAGTTATCTTCTCTTGGGAGCAGGTATTGATTGTAACGTCACTTGTTTGTGAGAGTAACGTCATCAATTTTTGAGAAAACAATGTTATTTTCTTGCACAAACCAATGACGTAACAATCAATACCTGCTCCCAAGAAAAGATAACTCTGCAATACGCAAAGACGGAATATTTGTAGAGATAAAATATTCAAAGAAGTGAAAAACCAACAGATTATAATTGTACCAGGTCTCAGGTTATGAACTGAGAACAGATATATAACTCTACAGTTCTAATGGAGAGTTGAGTTTGGGGTTGGAGCATTACTCTAATGTGACTATAACCTCGCTAAGACATGTACACCTTTCTAGAGAAAGGGATACATGGCGACACTAGCCTAGGTTCCTACTAACTAGGATAGGCTGCAACTGTTGGGCTAGGAATACTTTCCAGAAACAGGGATATGCTGTGACCAGTATGTAGGTATGCTAGGTTCATAGAAACTTGAAACATAGATATTGACAATGTATAACTTCTTGGATAGGTTTCTAGGATCAAGGATACACTGTGAACACTGGTTAAGAAACTTTTCCCCTAGAAACAGGGATATGCTATGACCACTATGCTATGCAACACTTATCTATACTTTACCAAGTACTTGTGTGTTCTGTTGTAGCACCTAGAGGACAGGAATCTACTGTCTGGTTACATAGCCATGTTCCTGGCAGAGTTTAACCTGGCGCAGGATCTGTTCCTGGCCTCGGGGAAACCACTGGCTGCACTAGAGGTGGGTTTTCTTGATTTAGCTAGAGGCTCTGGTAAAGTTGAGGATATTATATTACATACATGATTCAGAAGTGCCTGGGCGTATTTGCATCCACTCAAAAACTGTACACTCGTGGATTTATATTTGGTTGAATAGATTAAATGTGAGGTTTTGTTTATGTTCCGTACTTAAAAGTGACTCCATGTATGATTGTTCAAAGAGAAAACCCCCAGAAAAAATAGATTTGAAAGATATCTGATATGAAATGTACACCTCACACCTATGAAATATGCTCACATCCCTGACAGATGCGGCGAGACTTGCTGCACTGGGACAGTGCCCTCCAGCTGGCCAAGGCTCTCGCTCCTGAACAGATTCCCTACATCTCACGAGAATATGCCCAACAGCTGGAATTTACTGGGGACTACATGAATGCCTTGTCACATTACGAAAAAGGTGTGACACGACAAGAGAAGGATCGCGAGCATGATGAGGTCTGTGCCGCGGGGATAGCCCGTATGTCTATCAGGATGGGAGATATTCGTAGGTAGGAAACAGCCACAGAAATGTCACAGTCATATTGATGCTACAGGTTGACTTTGAAGTTAGGTATAATCGCAAACCCACAATCTCACCTTTCTAATGATGCTACTGGAGTGTTTAAAGCATGTTAAGAAATTGCTAATGGCGTGGGTGGATTTCTGTGTTGAGCTCAAATGAGAATGTAAAGCAGTATTACTTGGTCCATTATCACATGTAGATTTTGCCGGAATGAGGGTTTCCTGAAGGTAGCTTTTAAAGGAATGATAAAATTGTATAACAATCATGTTACCAAAGTATATACCAACCTACAGACATTTTCTAAAGAACGATAACTTAAGGTTAATCCATGATGATACTTTGGTATATGTATGTTATTTAGACCTTTTCATAGAAATGGGTGAGATTCCTATACTTTAACCATACATGTACTGTTATATACAGATCTAAACCTGATTTGCTTTAAAGCATTATTTGGACCAGATAGACCAAGCTAAAAATATGGAAAAAATGAAAACTATTTTTAATGTAGATTTAATACAAAACTATTGTAATGTGCATAAAAAGTCAGAATAACTCATGCTGAATATAACCAACAGCTACATTCAAGTTTTCCTTTCTTGCATAAATGGTCTTATGACTCTTATGTTTGTTTCTATAGGGGAGTTAACATGGCCCTGAAGATGCCCAGTAGGATACTGAAGAAGGAGTGTTCCACCATACTGGAAGGAATGAAGGTAAGTGTTCCATGATGGATCCTCAAGGTTAAAGATTATACAAAAGCCCTAGATTTCCTTTGAATTCCCTTAAAGTTTTATAGCTTGACAGAAATTATCAAATATAGCCTGTATAATGTATTTCTGCATTGAAGACTGTGTATTTGTTATGCTGGAATCTAAAACCATTGTGTGTTTCATTGTAGCCTGAGTATTATCGTGAATGTTGGCACCCCAAACTGCATTTGTTTTCAGTGAAATTCAGGGGAAGATATACCATCACTCCACACAGAAATCTATCTCTGTTTACAATATAATTATGTGTACAACAGCTGGCATACAGGAAATATTTCTGGCAAATCAGTCCAAACTTCATTATTCTAAAAAGGAAGTCTGAAAATACTAGGTGAATGTGTAAACTGAATGCTGTATTTTATCTAATTAGTGCCTGGGGTAAAACATAGCAAAAAGTGTAGCACAGTGTATAAAAATGAAGTGTGAGTATGTATTTCAAACAGGCACTGTATTCAGTTACCTACATGTTTAAACAGAAATTGTGATCAGACAATGTGTTTGAAAATGATATCTTGCATGATTGATCCAAAACAGCAGCATTTTATAAGAATTAGGTATTTGTGGCATTGGTTTAGGCAGGGAGGGCTAGTTATATGGTATTCATATCAGCAAAAATAGGAAAGGGGCTCATATATAGAAATATGGGCACCGATTTGATACATGGATTTATTATGCCTGATAGGATTGTACAATCCTTGGGTTGTCAGCTCATTGCAAATACATAATACACACATTACATAATACACACATTATATAATACACATATACATTTAGTCAAGTCAGATCAGATTGAGTATGGATTTGATAGGATTAGCCTGATAAGGTTTTAGGATTTAAATGAATTAATCCAAACCAGAATTTTATTCAAAGAATTAAGCATGATAGCAGCAGCAAAATGTGAATACTCTCAGTTACACCAAACTTTTTAATTTCAGCAATGGCAGGAAGCAGCCATGTTGTACGAACATGGAGGTTACTACGACAAAGCAGCATCTGTCTACATCCGCAGTAAAAACTGGTGAGTTGTACTTCAGTGTCTCATTGAGACAGAGTAAGGGGCAGTTCTATCATACTTCAGTGTCTCATTGAGACAGAATAAGGAGGCAGTTCTATCATACTTCAGTGTCTCAGTGAGACAGAGTAAGGGGCAGTTCTATCATACATCAGTGTCTGATTGAGGCAGAGTAAGGGGCAGTTCTATCATACTTTAGTGTCTCACTGAGACAGAGTAAGGGGGCAGTTCTATCATACTTCAGTGTCTCATTGAGGCAGAGTAAGGGGGCAGTTCTATCATACTTCTGTGTCCTACTTAGACAGAGTAAGGGGGCAGTTCTATCATACTTCAGTGTCTCATTGAGGCAGAGTAAGGGGCAGTTCTATCATAATTCAGTGTCTCATTGAGACAGAGTAAAGGGCAGTTCTATCATACTTTAGTGTCTCATTGAGACAGAATAAGGGGGCAGTTCTATCATACTTCGGTGTCTCATTGAGACAGAGTAAGGGGGCAGTTCTGTCATACTTCAGTGTCTCATTGAGACATAGTAAGGGGGCAGTTCTATCAAACTTCAGTGTCTCATTGAGACAGAGGAAGGGGCAGTTCTATCATGCTTCAGTGTCTCATTGAGACAGAATAAGGAGGCAGTTCTATCATACTTCAGTGGCTCATTGAGACAGAGTAAGGGGGCAGTTTTATCATACTTCAGTGTCTCATTGAGACTGAGTAAGGGGCAGTTCTATCATACTTAAGTGTCTCATTGAGGCAGAGTAAGGGGCAGTTCTATCATAATTCAGTGTCTCATTGAGACAGAGTAAGGGAGCAGTTCTATCATCCTTCAGTGTCTCATTGAGACAGAGTAAAGGGCAGTTCTATCATACTTTAGTGTCTCATTGAGACAGAGTAAGGGAGCAGTTCTATCATCCTTCAGTGTCTCATTGAGACATAGTAAGGGGGCAGTTCTATCAAACTTCAGTGTCTCATTGAGACAGAGTAAGGGAGCAGTTCTATCATCCTTCAGTGTCTCATTGAGACAGAGTAAGGGAGCAGTTCCATCATACTTCAGTGTCTCATTGAGACTGAGTAAGGGGCAGTTCTATCATACTTCACTGTCTCATTGAGACAGAGTAAGGGGGCAGTTTTATCATACTTCAGTGTCTCATTGAGCCAGAGTAAGGGGCAGTTCTATCATAATTCAGTGTCTCATTGAGACAGAGTAAGGGAGCAGTTCCATCATACTTCAGTGTCTCATTGAGACATAGTAAGGGGGCAGTTCTATCAAACTTCAGTGTCTCATTGAGACACAGTAAGGGGCAGTTCTATCATACTTTAGTGTCTCATTGAGACAGAGTAAGGGAGCAGTTCCATCATACTTCAGTGTCTCATTGAGACAGAGGAAGGGGCAGTTCTATCATGCTTCAGTGTCTCATTGAGACAGAGTAATGGTCAGTTCTATCATACTTCAGTGTCTCAGTGAGACAGAGTAAGGGGCAGTTCTATCGTACTTCAGTTGCTCATTGAGACAGAGTAAGGGGCAGGTCTATCATACTTCAGTGTCTCATTGAGACATAGTAAGGGGGCAGTTCTATCAAACTTCAGTGTCTCATTGAGACACAGTAAGGGGCAGTTCTATCATACTTTAGTGTCTCATTGAGACAGAGTAAGGGAGCAGTTCTATCATCCTTCAGTGTCTCATTGAGACATAGTAAGGGGGCAGTTCTATCAAACTTCAGTGTCTCATTGAGACACAGTAAGGGGCAGTTCTATCATACTTCACTGTCTCATTGAGACAGAGTAAGGGGGCAGTGCTATCATACTTCAGTGTCTCATTGAGACATAGTAAGGGGGCAGTTCTATCAAACTTCAGTGTCTCATTGAGACACAGTAAGGGGCAGTTCTATCATACTTCAGTGTGTCATTGAGACAGAATAAGGAGGCAGTTATATCATACTTCAGTGTCTCATTGAGTCAGAGTAAGGGGCAGTTCTATCATAATTCAGTGTCTCATTGAGACAGAGTAAAGGGCAGTTCTATCATACTTTAGTGTCTCATTGAGACAGAATAAGGAGGCGGTTCTATCATACTTCAGTGTCTCATTTAGACAGAATAAGGGGGCAGTTCTATCATACTTCAGTGTCTCATTTAGACAGAATAAGGGGGCAGTTCTATCATACTTCGGTGTCTCATTGAGACAGAGTAAGGGAGCAGTTCTATCATACTTCAGTGGCTCATTGAGACAGAGTAAGGGGGCACTTCTATCATACTTCAGTGTCTCATTTAGACAGAGTAAGGGGGCAGTTCTATCGTACTTCAGTGTCTCATTGAGACAGAATAAGAAGGCAGTTCTATCATACTTCAGTGTCCCATTGAGACAGAATAAGGAGGCAGTTCTATCATAATTCAGTGTCTCATTGAGACAGAGTAGGGGGCAGTTCTATCATACTCCAGTGTCTCATTGAGACAGAGTAAGGGGGCAGTTCTATCGTACTTCAGTGTCTCATTGAGACTGAGTAAGGGGCAGTTCTATCATACTCCAGTGTCTCATTGAGACAGCGTAAGGGGGCAGTTCTATCATACTTCAGTGTCCCATTGAGACAGAATAAGGAGGCAGTTCTATAATACTTCAGTGTCTCATTGAGACAGAGTAAAGGGCAGTTCTATCATACTTTAGTGTCTCATTGAGAAAGAGTAAGGGGCAGTTCTATCATACTTTAGTGTCTCATTGAGACAGAATAAGGGGGCAGTTCTATCATACTTCGGTGTCTCATTGAGACAGAGTAAGGGGGCAGTTCTATCATACGTCTGTGTCCTACTTAGACAGAGTAACGGGGCAGTTCTATCATACTTCAGTGTCCCATTGAGACAGAATAAGGAGGCAGTTATATCATACTTCAGTGTCTCATTGAGGCAGAGTAAGGGGCAGTTCTATCATAATTCAGTGTCTCATTGAGACAGAGTAGGGGGCAGTTCTATCATACTCCAGTGTCTCATTGAGACAGCGTAAGGGGGCAGTTCTATCATACTTCGGTGTCTCATTGAGACAGAGTAAGGGGGAGTTCTATCATACTTCAGTGTCTCACTGAGACAGAGTAAGGGGGCAGTTCTGTCATACTTCAGTGTCTCATTGAGACATAGTAAGGGGGCAGTTCTATCATACTTCAGTGTCCCATTGAGACAGAATAAGGAGGCAGTTCTATAATACTTCAGTGTCTCATTGAGACAGTAAGGGGCAGTTCTATCGTACTTCAGTGTCTCATTGAGACAGAGGAAGGGGCAGTTCTATCATGCTTCAGTGTCTCATTGAGACAGAGTAAGGGAGCAGTTCTATCATCCTTCAGTGTCTCATTGAGACAGAGTAGGGGGCAGTTCTATCATACTCCAGTGTCTCATTGAGACAGAGTAAGGGGGAGTTCTATCATACTTCAGTGTCTCACTGAGACAGAGTAAGGGGGCAGTTCTGTCATACTTCAGTGTCTCATTGAGACATAGTAAGGGGGCAGTTCTATCAAACTTCAGTGTCTCATTGAGACAGAGGAAGGGGCAGTTCTATCATGCTTCAGTGTCTCATTGAGACAGAATAAGGAGGCAGTTCTATCATACTTCAGTGTCTCATTGAGACAGAATAAGGAGGCAGTTCTATCATACTTCAGTGTCTCATTGAGACAGAGTAAGGGGGCAGTTCTATCATACTTTAGTGTCTCATTGAGAAAGAGTAAGGGGCAGTTCTATCATACTCCAGTGTCTCATTGAGACAGAGTAAAGGGCAGTTCTATCATACTTTAGTGTCTCATTGAGAAAGAGTAAGGGGCAGTTCTACCATACTTCAGTGTCTCATTAAGACAGAGTAAGGGGCAGTTCTATCATACTTCAGTGTCTCATTGAGACATAGTAAGGGGGCAGTTCTATCAAACTTCAGTGTCTCATTGAGACACAGTAAGGGGCAGTTCTATCATACTTCAGTGTCTCGTTGAGACATAGTAAGGGGCAGTTCTATCATACTTTAGTGTCTCATTGAGACAGAGTAAGGGGGCAGTTCTATCATACTTCAGTGTCTCATTGAGACAGAGTAAAGGGCAGTTCTATCATACTTTAGTGTCTCATTGAGAAAGAGTAAGGGGCAGTTCTATCATACTTCAGTGTCTCATTGAGACAGAGTAAGGGGCAGTTCTATCATACTTCGGTGTCTCATTGAGACAGAGTAAGGGGCAGTTCTATCATACTTCGGTGTCTCATTGAGACAGAGTAAGGGGCAGTGCTATCATACTTCAGTGTCTCATTGAGACAGAGTAAGGGGGCAGTTCTATCGTACTTCAGTGTCTCATTGAGACAGAGTAATGGTCAGTTCTATCATACTTCAGTGTCTCATTGAGACAGTAAGGGGCAGTTCTATCGTACTTCAGTGTCTCATTGAGACAGAGTAATGGTCAGTTCTATCATACTTCAGTGTCTCATTGAGACAGAGTAAGGGGGCAGTTCTATTGTGAAAAAAAACCTTTTTTTTTTTTTTTTTTAAATTTTCTCTGTTGTTAAATCTGTTCCTCTATGCATCACTTTGTCATACAGTAGGCATTTCTCTTATACTCTTTTAGTAGTGAGTACTTCTAGTGATGACAAAGTCATACATACTGAAATAGAGTCACATGCCTCACTGTAAACAGAGTGTTTTGTTAATGTCCTACCAAAGTTGTCTTCAGGGAATTCAACTAAAGATCTCGACACATCATTCTCAATTATTAAAAAAGTGAAAAAGTTAGTAACAAGACCACAATCATGTAGAATACTGAATGTACAATAAAAAGATTTGGTAAGTGCAAAAAAATATCTGAAGACTATTTTTCACAGCGAAATGTGGAATAAAAAATTAAAAGTCCACTATATTTTTTTACAGGAACAAGGTTGGAGAGCTTTTGTCGCACATTACCTCCCCAAAAATCCATGCCCAGTACGCTAAGGCTAAAGAAGCAGATGGACGCTACAAGGAGGCTGCAGAGGCCTACAAACAGGCCAAGGACTGGGACAATGTCATCAGGTACTGGGCTTCTTTTCTATTCCTAGCCAGATCAGATATCTTTCTCTCCTGATCTAACACAAGTATTTTAATACCTGTTTTTGAAAGTTCTTTTTCATACTGCTCAAAACTCAGTATTTGGAAACTTCAACCAGGTGACCTGGAATATGTACCACAGAGCCCTTTTGATTATTTATCAGAAGATAAGTACTTTCACTTGTCAGAGTTTGATTAAATTATGTTGTGCTTTATAAAAAGACCAAATTTATATTGTTCAACTCATGGAACAATAATTCACAATATTTTCAGGATAAACTTGGACTACCTGCAGAACCCTGAGGAAGCTGTGAGGATTGTACGTGAAATCCAGTCTATAGAGGGAGCCAAGATGGTGGCTAAGTAAGTATCCTGTTATTGTGTCGGTGTAACTAATGTCAACAAGTTGTACTGTGTGAACATTTGTGAATAAGCGGTGCAGTGATTAGAACTGAATGAAAGTTATCCAGATAGTTAGGACAGCAACACACTTGTATAGATCTGATAACATTTTTTGTATGGTGGCGTGAGGTGTCTAAAATATTTAACATTTGTGTAGTGGGTCCCTGGAGAAAGTTGTGTACAAGTTTTAAATTTACTTTGATAAATGCTTGCCATTAGGTATCAATTGCTTGATAAAAAAATGTTTATATTTCAGTGTTTTGAGAGCCTTTGTATGTCAATATGTCATAATGAAATATTCACACGTCTGCTTACTGACATATTTTATTCGGCACTGTAATTAAACTTCCGTAAATTTAAATTATTTTGCCTGTGTATGTTTCAGAATAATTGATAATACACATGTATACGAATTTCATTATTTGTGGTGTCAGTAAAATGTCTGATGGGACAATACGAAATATGAAATAATATTCATATCATCAGTACTTTTATGTGTATAGCACATATAGATGATTAGGAAGTGTGAGAAATTGTCATTTGTGTCAAGTCAGTGTCGGGTTGTTACAACGGCTCATTCTTTTTTATCAGGTTTTTCCAGAAGTTGAATGACTATTCATCTGCTATCCAGTTCTTGGTCATGTCTAAGTGTAACGACGAGGCATTCCAGCTGGCTCAGACACACAATCAGATGGAAACATATGCCGATATCATTGGTAGGTCACCTGTAAAATAGCAAATAAAGAATAATATCGGAAATTAATGTATGTTATGTAGCAGATACACATATTTCGTAAAAGAATTTTTCAGAATGCACATTGTCAATTCTTTAACACTTAATTCTGGAGAAAAAGAAAAAAAAATCCAGAATTCCGCTGTGCTTTTACTGGCAACATGACGTAAAAGTGATTATTGTGAGCATTTGATCACAATTTGCTTACAATGATATTTTATTTTATATAAATGGGGAATAATTCAAATCATATTGTGAATCATGCTGGAAATTTCATACAAATTAAACAAAATTAGATGTCAATGAAATTGATGCAAAGTTACAGATGAATGTATAAAATGAAGAAGTTCACTGCACTGTTCAAATCTTACACAGTGAAATGTATTGTTTTGCCACTTGAAATTGTCTGACGGACAGTATACTGTGTCCCTAGGTCCGGATGCTACCCCGGAGGACTACCAGAGCATTGCCCTGTTCTTTGAGAATGAGAAGAACCACTTCCTGTCCGGAAAATTTTTCCTTCTCAGTGGACAGTATAGTAGGGTGAGGAAATAATAGATCATGTTCTGAAACATTGAAAATAATGTGTTTGACTGTTACAACAGAAACTAATTTGTAGAATATATTTATAATATAGACATGACTTCTCCATCCACTAAAATCATGCATGAAATCTAAAGAGTTCTGCTCTCAATATATAAATCTTCTCTGCTGCCTTGAATTTTTTTAATAAGACTTTTTTGTTACAATTTGCAAATATTACAATAAGACGAGTTGGTTGTCTTTGATGAATATCAAAAGAATCCTGTTGTAGGTGGAAAAAAATGACAGGCTTTGAATTTGAGTGTAGCTCCTCTTTAAACTTCATAGGACAGGTATCTACCTAGTGATTGGCTAGGTTTTCATACCTGAAACTAATCAAATAGCTTACCATGAGCATTCAATTTTGTCATAACATGCCAAGGGTGCACAGATGATACGTGTGTCGAGAGCAGAACCCTTAGATTTCAAGGATGCCTAAATACGAAAGCTTCAATTTTATTCTGGTTGAATTGATAGACAGTGGGAATATTTAGTTTTCTCCTAACATTTATCATATAAGTCGATTACTGTATATAATCATGCTTATTGTTAATTAAGATCAGCTAACTATTGCATTTCAAGTGAGTTTATACTTCATTGAATTAATGATCACATAAGTATGAAGTTGATTGGTTTGTTCGAAAATGTCCTGCTTGGGATGAAACCCAAAGGTCCTGGCTTAAAAGTCAGACTGCTGTGCTTATGTGCACTATTATTTATGACGGGATATATCCTAACTTTTATCTATTTACAGGCAATGAAGCACTTCCTGCGGTGTAGTGGAGAGGATGGCAGGGCTATAGAGCTAGCTATAGAGACAGTTGGACGAGCCAATGACACGCAGCTCACTAGACAGCTCATAGACTTCCTCATGGGAGAGACTGACAACATTCCTAAGGTAATGACAGCTCACTAGACAGCTCATAGACTTCCTCATGGGAGAGACTGACATCATTCCTAAGGTAATGACAGCTTATTATATAGCTCATATATATCCTGATTGGGGAGACTGACATCATTCCTAAGTAAATGACTGTGTACTATATAGCTCATATATATCCTGATTGGGGAGACTGACATCATTCTTAAGTAAATGACAGTTTACTATATAGCTCATATTTATCCTGATTGGGGAGACTGACATCATTCCTAAGTAAATGACAGTTTACTATATAGCTCATATATATCCTGATTGGAGAGACTGACATCATTCCTAGATAAAGACCACACATACATTTGAAATAGTACCAGTGTGTGCCCAAATTGTGGGTGGAGTTCTAGCATACATTAAGCGAGGAATTTCAAAATCTGGTTACCAACAAATACCTCACTCTGTATGGAATTATTTTGGCAGATAATACTTGTTGCTTTATATATATCCTTGTATGAACAAGTTTTCTATAATAATTGATAATTGATGTGTTATCATTGTAGGATGCTAAGTACCTATTCCGCCTCTACATGGCCCTGAAACAGTACAGGGAGGCTGCGCGTACTGCCATCATTATCGCTCGTGAGGAGCAGAACGCTGGTGAGTTTATACCTTCAAAACACGAAAAGTTTAACAATATTTATGCTTTGAACACAATACTTTGAACATTGTTCTTATTTTGAACATATTTAGGAGATAAGTTTATTATATAAACCAAGTTTATAACGAAGTCAAGGGTAGGTACACAGTAAATAATCAGTTTGTTGTTGTATAATTAATATATTATATTAACACAGAAAGTGAGCTTGTTGTAAGGTTATATTATGATGTATTGTTGACTCAGGAACTTAAAGTTTGTTACTGTCAAAGTTGATTGGACCATGATTAAAAAAAAAAAAATGAAGTTTCAGTTCTACATTTGTATCTTGAGTTAAACACATATAGATGCATTTCTATGGACCAAAATAAAGAATTTGAGACTGGGTCTTTGTGATAGCATATCTCATAAAAAAGAATGTTGACTGTACAATATTACCTTTATGTTTAGGTAACTATCGTAATGCTCACGACGTGCTGTTCAGTATGTACCAGGAGTTGAAGGAGCAGAAGATCAAGATCCCAGCAGAAATGGGCACCAACCTGATGATTCTACACAGCTACATCCTTGTCAAGATCCACGTCAAACACGGCGACCATCTCAAGGGCGCTAGAATGCTCATACGTGTGGCTAACAACATCAGTAAATTCCCTTCACGTGAGTCTAAATTCTTGCATAAGTACTATAAATCAGATGTCCTGTCAAAAATCTTTTGAGACAAAACTGTTTATTTCATTCATTGGCATTAAAATACATATTAGTTATGAAGTACAAAACCCCAGGAAATATTTGATAATTAATATCAACATTGAATTGTCATCCCCTTAATCACTGATTTTACCATTCAGGCATAAAAACAACAGTCATACGAAAGTTAAATAATATATCGTAACCAAGAGATATCAAAATATGTATTGAAAAGATGAGTTAAATGATATCAGATCTGCACATAATGTGGCTAGTTGCAGTGCATTTAAAGTTGACAATCTGTTACCGAATTTTGACAGTGGTTAAAATGAAACCATTTGTTGAACACCTTGTATATTAATCCAATAAAATGTCAACACTGTAGACAGAGTGTTGGAATGGGCTGATGGATCTGGTGTTAACAAGACTGATCAGATATACACTAAGGCTGATGGCTTATAATCATTGTCGGAGATGTCCTTACTTAAAAAAATACATCTTGACAACAGATCAAAATTATTTTATTGTGGACTCGTGGTTCCTGCATTGTAAAATGTATCTATAATGTCACATAATGTTATTTGAACCAACATATTTTGTTTCCTTACAGATATTGTGCCTATTCTCACGTCTACTGTTATTGAGTGTCACAGAGCTGGCCTGAAAAATTCCTCCTTCAGTTACGCTGCCATGTTGATGAGACCAGAGTACAGAAATCAGATCGACCTTAAGTTTAAGAAGAAGATAGAGATGATTGTCCGTAAGCCAGATAAGACAGAGGAGGAGGAACCCTTAACACCATGTCCCTATTGTGGTTTTCAGTTACCCGAGACAGACCTCACATGTCCAGAGTGTAAAAATAGCCTACCCTACTGTACAATCACAGTAAGTGTAAAAATAGATGTTTTTATACTGTAGTCAACAATTTATAAAATACCTCATTCTCTAGTCAGTGAGTGTAAAATAGTATACTGTAGTTAGCAAGTGTAAAAATAACTTACTGTAGTCAGTGAGTGTAAAAATATCTCAAATTGTACAGTCACATCAAGTGTAAAAATATAATCTCATATTGCACAGTCAGCATTATGGTAAAAACATCATCCCATACTTTTTATACCTTAGACTTACTGTTGCATTGAAAGCAGGATTTGAATATATTTTAATATATCTTTAAATAGTCCTTTTGGAACTTATAGTTATCGTCAATAACTCAATTCTTTTAATTTGAAAGAGTTTGATTAGAGTCATATTTGTTTTCAGGGTCGACATCTCGTCAAAGATGACATGGCTGCCTGCCCTAAGTGTGACTTCCCAGGATTATTTTCTGAATTTATAAGGTTTGTTTCGATGAAAAATGTTGTTATATTCCAAGTTAATGCTATATTTCATCCCCCAGATGTTCACAAATTCAAAGTGAAATGAAATAAAATTCAAAGTATATCTGCCTGGAGATATGGGGTTCTGCCTGGAGATACGGGGTTCTGCCTAGTTCTGCCTGGAGATATGGGGTTCTGCCTAGTTCTGCCTGGAGATATGGGGTTCTGCCTGAGATATGGGGTTCTGTCTGGAGATATGGGGTTCTGCCAGGAGATACGGGGTTCTGTCTGTTCTCTATATATGTTAATATGTTTGCCTCGTTTGTTACTTTTAATTCTCAACAGATTTTCCTATAAAATCAACTATGTGCAGCCTTTATCAGACTTTATTTTGACTTTTTGAAGATATCTTGGAGAAATTCTTATTTTTATTGTTTTTAGGTTATTGGAGATAGAAGACAGTTGTCCTATGTGTACAGAGAAGGTCATCAAGGAGAACATACAGAAAGTGACCGACACACAGCATTACCTGACCCCTGAGGAGGGTACCGAGTGATGTCACAGCCTTGTACTAACTTGTCGGCTTAGATCCCGAACAGACTGAACAACAGCAAGTGAACTGTGACTGACTAAACATGTACAACATGTACACAGACTGAACACATACAGACTGAATTGAGTTTTATCATGGTCCTAGCTATAAGTAACGTTTTAAAGCAAATAAATCTTGTAAATACCCTGTTAAAAAGTGTAAAGCAATGTTAGCAGTCTATGGAGTATCAAAGTTAAATTCACTGCTTGACCTGTTACTGGTTGTAAAGGTTCTGATATATTCTGACATTATTTATTGATACATTCCATATTTCATGCTTTACAAACTATTTCTGCATAATGAAATCCCTGATTTGTAGCTACCGGTATTGTGTTGGAAATTGTGAACAAAATATTTATGATTTAACATAATACATCTAATTGTATTAAAAACTGTTTAGTGTTATTAAGAATGTGTTCTGAGCAACTATTGTGTTTAGCAAATATTCCAGTTGAGAAACCGTCCTTTTATCACCAGTGAAGAGATTTGCTGTTTTAGGTTTTAAATGTTAGTTTACAAGTGACAGATTTCTTTGGTAATTACCTGTTTCCTAGGTAGTGGTAAATTCATATTTATATATATAATGTTTTAATTAGGAGTTAGTTTTTTTCAGACAAAGATGGAAAATGTATTAAATTTGAATTTGATACCAATATGTGACACGTTAATAGTGGGAAAAGTACTGATTTTCAAATAAATTTCCTCAGACTTAAAGGTATAATTGAAATTTTGGTCGATGTACTTTTCTCTCAAACTTGAAATATTTAATCCCTCTTTAGGTCAAGTTCCCGTTGTCACTCCAGCATTACAATAAACTTTTAAGCCCTATAGCACCGCTATATTAAACAAATATTGGTAGAACTTTTCTACTGAGTTAAACTCGTACTGTTATATTTATTTATAGCATGTGTACAATTGTTTAATGCAATGAAATGCTCACACAAAAATTAATTACAAATCTACAAGTAAATAGAATGAACTGACGTCAACAATTGTTTTTGTAAATGAAGACTGCATGAAATGTAATGTGTTCAGCTGGTGAGCCTGATTGAAATTGATTCTTGTGTCGGAAAAAAACTGTCCATTTAAGGCTATTTCAAAGTCTATTATGGTTGATATTTTTAGATATAGTTGTGCATTATGGTTGAAAATAATTTGAGATATTTGGTCGGAATAGTCTTCTACAGACAACAGAAAGATTAATTTAAAAATATTTTACACCAGATTGAATTACTGATTGGAACTGATCTGTAAATTGGGAATTGATAGATCTGATTGTATATGTAAATAAGAAGAGTATTCTTGCTAACTTATATTTTTATTTCTTCATATTTTTTTTTCTGATGTTCACGTACAAGTTATCAGGTGTAGTTTTCAATTTTAAAAGATTACAGAAATACAATGTATTGCACATTTGTGAATTTGTAGTGAGAATGTCATCAGCACTTCATTTTCAAGTAAAATTTAATACTGGGAAACCGTTTGTCGTAGTAGTGCTACTTTTGCCGTACAAATAAGATAGAATACATTTTGTCATCCGCTTTGATATTTGTAAATTTTTGTAATAAAAGGAAAAAAAGAAAGTTTAATTTTGTGCCAGTTTTAGCAACTTAATATTTCGTGCCTCTCTTAACCGTCCAAACATAACTTTATGTACTATTGTGATAGACCAATTCTGTTGTTATTGAAGATCTGACCATTTAAAAGAATTGTATGTGATATAATACGTCTGTGATTACAAGAAATTATGCTGAACTTTCAGTGGTTGTTTGTTATTTATGTGTGCATAGGAAATAAATGTTTTTTTCCCTTCAAAAAGATGAGTTTACACGCAAATGTTTTATCAGATAAGCAGAGGATTAATGGGTTGTTTCAGACCACTTGACAATGTAAGACTGGGTTGTGTCAAAACCCATACAGGAAAACAAGGATTAACGAAAAAGTACTGCAAACTTACCATCTAGCAGTGCTTAGCTCCTACCAACGAAATAGAGGGTGATTATCATCTGTGATCTGAACGCTAAGGTCGAGATTAAAATGTAAAATATGAGAGTGAGAAGGGAATCCATAGATGTTCAGACATCTATTATAATTGAAGGCGCCTGATTTATTTCAGTATAAACTGCAGTTTGTCGGTGGTATCATTTTCCGACTCGCTAGGTGAAAGAGCTGTCAATCAAATTAACCACGGGACCGTCAATGGAAAGAAACAGCGATCATGCAACAGTGACTACGATCTTGAAGGCTGTATATTTCCAAGCTGAAATATTCTACCAACAAAAAGAGCTTTGTTCTGGCACTGTGTAACAGGTCTAGTGTGCTGTTGGATATGAGCGAGGAGGGGGAGAATGATGTAGACAGGAAATATAACATTATCAAGATTATTAACTGATCCCGAGTTGATTACTGAAAGAGATGGAGCATGGAATGAGTAACACCCGCCGCATGGCAAATGATAACCAAGAGAAAGGTTCTCATCTTCAAGCCTCCAAGACCACCACAGCAAACGAATGAGGCATATCTCTAAAGATATAGAATTTATAAGAAGTGCCAGAAGGCAAACAAAAGGGCCATGTAAAAGGTCTGCTCACACAGGTAATTCTGACCGCAAAAACAGGCGAGTTGGGTGCTGCAGAGCCTTTCACCATGACGACTAGGGGTTGATTCCTCGATCGGACGTGAAAACGTATTTGGTCACCTGCCCGACCACATGGGTGTTCTCTTGGTTCTCAGGTTTCCCACCCACATTAAGATCCTTGAGCACTTCTATCTGGACCAACAAAAGTTTAGTTGAAAACATTCTTTCACAATGATTGTAAGCTTTATTAAGTATACGTAGGAAGGGGAGTGCTTAAATAAAAGACCACCAAGCGTCTTTCCGTCGAATGCGTCATTTAATCGATCGAGAACAAAGGTGGCAAAACGCTCACAAGAGAGCATGAACAACCAGAAAGGTTGACTCAATACCATCAGGTGGTACTGGACGTCATGTACAGACGATCCAGCAAACCACACTCCAACCATTGGCATCTTTGATGATAACACATGTGCACTTGCTACTGAGGCGGAATTGAGAACTGTGATCTAGGCATTGAAACTGGTAAAAGTTCTGGCCTTGAATCTGTCCACACAGAAATGCTAGAACATCAGCGCAACGTCTAGCTTTTCTAGAGCACTATTTGAACGTTTAACGACATTGTTTCTTTAGACTGAACGAGAAGCCTTGTTATACAGCTGCAAATGAAAGGTGATCGGCGAAAATATGACTACACTATTGTTGTATCAAAAACTCTCCTTTTTGTCCATGGAAAAGTCTTCTGAACGGGGTTGAATCAATATGAATGTAGCGTAAGAACACATAATGATTTCTAATCGAAATTGGGAAGACATGAGATATTTTCTCCATTTTCATCATGGTTACTATCAATGGCATCATGAGACAGTCCAATACAGTCTAAAGACCAACATTCGTTTCTATGACAGAAACGTTAAATCAGTTATGGTTCAGGGCTTTGGCGTGTCACTCAAGCAAACATGAAGAAAACAGTCATTTCACAAACGATGTCTCCGGAAGATCTGACGCATCATCTGATCCAGTATCATACCCAACAGAGAACTCTACACGCTGACTGGCAGACAGAGCAATAGTCCAGATTAAACAGTCACTGTTCTGATGTCTTGGATATGTGTTAGATATATACACAAAGAAAAAAGTTAAGCACCCCCTGATATATTGAATTATAGTATGTTACCACACATTTCAAATTAAATGAAAATATTGATTTTAACAAGACCATTGTTCCATAAAAAAGATGTGATCATACAGGTGTGATCGGTAATTAAGATATTGAGGTATTATGCATGTGAACCGTGCCTCCCATGCAATTTCCAAAATTGAGTATGCCCACGCTTCAAATTTGGGTATTTAAGTGCGGCGTTTTGAAAAAAATATTCATTCTCTGTGAACATGGTACGAAGACGAATATCGGAGGCCCAAAGATTATCGGCATGCGGTCAACAGGGATGTCCTTTAAAGCTATTGGACGTCAGATGGGCTATCATTATACTGTAGTCAGCCGGCTTGTGAGAAAACACATCCAAACCAACACCGTCAAAGACTTGCGAAGATCCGGTAGACCACCCGTAACATCGCAGCGTGAAGACAGGACTTAGTTGGACAAATGCCATCTGCAACTAGTCCTGTTCTAAAAAGACAATGGTTACCTTATAGACGTCTATCAACCAGAACAGCGCGGAACCGGTTGAAATCAGCAGGACTGAAGTCAAGGAGGGTAATTAGACGTCCCATGTTAACTGATCGACATCAAATATTGCGTTTGGCATGGTGTTTAGCGCGACGTGGTTGGAACTTGAGGACCTGGAGCAAGATCTGTTGGTCGGACGAGAGCCGGTTTCTCCTGCATGTAACAGATGTACGAATGAGAGTATGGAGACAGAAAAATACAGCATATACCCCAAGGAACATCAACCCAACTGTCCCTTACGGTGGAGGCTCTGTAATGGTATGGGGGTGCATCTCTCATGATTGCAAGTTGGACTTGGTGACCATACGAGGAAACCTGAATGGTGATCAATACATCAGAGAAGTTCTTCAGCCAGTTGTTGTCCCCCATTTTGATAACCATCCATTAGCTGCAATACATGTGTTTATGGATGACAACGCCAGGCCGCATCGCTCAAGGGCGGTAACCGTCTACCTTCAAGGCGAAGCAGTGATTTCTCTTCCATGGCCAGCCGTGAGCCCGGATTTGAATCCGATAGAGCATGTTTGGGACATGTTAGGCCGTCGTGTACAGGCAGTCGAACCTCCTGTACAAAACTTACGTCAGTTGGAAGCAGCATTGCATCGAGAATGGCGACAGCTACCACAGCAGGAAATCCGACGACTGACTGGAGGGATGAGACGCAGGGTTGAGGTCGGCATCCAAACACGTGGTGGTTTCACTCGATATTAAACTCTGAACCATGGATGTCGTTAAGTGACTTAACATTGACGTTTTCTAAGTGAAATGACAACCTTATCGGGCATTATGACCTAAGAAAGTCAATACTTAAAATGGACATGTTTTAGTGTAATAACTGAGCTTGTGATTTTTTGACAATCTATTCAGTAAATTATCATTTCTGTTGATATTTGTTGTGTTTTCCTTAAAGCTAATGTAATGTCCTAACAGGCTGCATTTGTATTTTTGCGATTATTTGTTCCGTTATCTCATGACACTAATCGTATCATTTGTCATTTCAAAAAAACGTAGGGGTGCTTAACCTTTTTCTTTGTGTATAGGTAAGAAATATTTTCCTCAAGTCACTCCGATGGACACCGCCTAGGAAACGGAAACGTTGTTGGAAAGAGACCACCTCATAAATGACTATCACTACTGAAATAGAGGAATTCAACATCACCTTGGGTGAGATACAGACTATGGCACAAGACAGACCAAAGTGGTAGACATTACTGCGGTTTTATGCCCCACACGGGATGGCGAGGGTAAGTAATTGTGTACTGCAAAATATACAGTTTGTTTGTATTCTGCAATGTTTGGTCAAAGCAGAATAACCTCTCTGTACACCCGGTAATCGTCTTCTGGCTAATATTGTCAATTTTGATTTGATTACTATAAGTTGCTAACATTGCTGATGTTGAAAGTTGATGAATATCATCATATGTAGTTTTGTGCGGTTTATTTTGGCTATAAACCTTTTTAAATGTGATATGCATGAGGGGAATTCGGGGAAAGCCAAAATTTGTTATATGTTTTTTTACATGTTAAATGGACCTATTTAAACTTCGGCTAGAACATATTAAGATCGGGTTATATCAGCCCAAATAACATGCCTAAAACCTATATAATCAAAATTAACTTGGGGTACCTCTGCAGCGACCAGTCTCACTAGGTACACTGTAATTGTTTTTGTAATCAAATTTCCCATCAAGAAATTTATATTTTAAGTTTATCATATTATGTGTGTCGTTTTATTTTGTGAAATGAAAAAAAATGTTCATCGACATACATTTTGACGAGACAAACGATTTTTCAAAAGTAAATACAATTAGACGTACTTGAATTTTAATTTTGGATCATTGATGAGCTTATTTCACTTGTATTTCAGGGATACATGAGTTTTGCCAACAGCCTAATTTAATCCATTTATGTCACTTGTAGCATACCAAAGAACACTCGGGGAATAGGGTAAAGGAATTAAAAAGGTCCAAATGACATGTGCAATGAGCATTGGGAGTTCCATTCGGTCGGATGTAGAGTTCACTAACTGACAAAACAAATAATAAAACCGTGTTATGCACGTGTTTTAGTGAGCTTCGCAAGAGCCTGTTTCGAGTTTGGATCCCCTGGATCTTTATACGATAAATAGATACGTTTCTTATGCATCAAGGCTGTATCACTCACAGATATGGCTATAAAAACAATTTTACGAAACCAAACTTCTAAAATACTCGGTCACAGAGATCCTGAAAGAAATCAAATTTAATAATCTAACTCAAATAATGGATTATCAGATTTTATTAATAAAAATATCTGCTTATAATATACAAAGATTTTCTTACGTGCACATGATACAGTACTAACAGGAAACATGTAAGAGGAACTGTCCACGGGTATACCTACAATACTGTCCACGGGTATACCTACAATACTGTCCACGGGTACGGGTATACCTACAAACTGTCCACGGGTATACCTACAATACTGTCCACGGGTATACCTACAATACTGTCCACAGAACATTCTACAAACTAATTAAGCATAGTGCAGTCAGACCTCGTTAAATGATATCGGTAAAATTAGCTTTTAATTAGACTATATTTAGTAATGCCCTGTGCGTTTCTATGTTTTTTAGGATCCATTTCCATTGAGAAAACGAGGTCTGACTGTTATAAAAAAAATACGCAAAATTTCTATTCTACAAACTCCCTGCAGTGTGAGTTGAATTGTATAGCGGAGACCACAGTGTTACTTTGATGTATTTTCTCTAGTTAAAATATCGATCCCATTACTGCAAGTAGCTTACCCTTCGCATATATATAGATGATAGAAGACTGGCTGCAAACCATTAATTTTCACTTACAGAAAAAAACCTAGCTATCATGCACTATTAACTCATGTAACACACACAAAATGTCGTATGTATAGGATTTTACATTAAAGTTGTTTTCCATAATGTAGGATTCTATATGGCGAATTATTATCATTGTTGTCCATAGCATGGTATTCTGTCTAGATAATTACCTTTGTTATCCATTATATCAGATTGTATATGGCTATAACCGTTGCATTTCGGAGTATGACATTTTATATGGCTACTTATCTCTTATTAACATAAATGACTTTTTGCGTATTAAAATGTGTATTATATGATTAACATGGAATAGCTTTATTTTAATAAGGGAGGTTACACACTCTACTATAACGTAAATGAAACACGTGTTCATGCATTCTGACACAGTGACTTTTCCAAATTTTAACGTTAAAAGACAATTATCATAGGTAACATCAGACACTTACGAATTCACCCAAAATAAAATGTATTCTTTGCATTAAAATAAAATAAAAAATAAAGTGAATTTTGTCAGGTATACTGCAATAAAACGTATAACTTGATATGTAAAATGAACACGAGGCATTAAATTATAAAAATAACCAATAGACTAGTTACACAGTCAATGAAGAGCAAACATATCTAACATAGTTACATGAAGACGTTAGATAGGAAACAAATATAACCAGTACAACATGTGCTTTTCTATGTTACATGTAAGTTCCGAATGTACTTGAGCATATGAGAATTATATCATTATATATTACCATACTATGTAGCTGGATTTCACAGAGTAAAAAACACTCCACTCATTGGTGTGGCAATACACATGGTATATTGTATATTTCGTTTTGAAATTTGTATTTGCCAATAAAAAAACGACTTTCTTCAAAAGATAGAAATGGCGTCAAATAGGAAGCATTCGAATTGTTCTTAAACTGTCTGATAGATAGAAACATATCGTGATCGGTTCACCGTTTCGCGCCATTAACTACAGGATTTCATGTTGATGATAGGGGACACATGTGATACAGCTTCAATATGGCGTGCGTGTGTGTGTGCTGGAGCATTGTAAAGTCCACTCGAATTCTAAGGAGACACTTTATATATTCTAGGGGTAGATACATACAATACTTTTAAAATACCAGGTTTTGAAACAAATTGAATTGTTGTCTGAGTTTAGGGGAATGTGTGCCCTTTCCTTCTATATCCGTACACTACCTACTAATGGTCGCATGACACACATAAAACTGCGTGAAAAGTCAGCGGGTCGGACTAAATATCTATATAGAAAAAGGCGGTCATGCGAATATTGACTTCAAGCACAGACTCATCCTTATGAATGCAAGCTAAGTTTAATAGGGCCATGGCGTACATTCCATATTGGTGGTCTAGTACAGATGGCCAAGAGAACTTCCTGTGTTTTGTTAGCAGTCAGTTGTCGCTTGTAACTGTCATCAGCTTCCGGCGATCAGACGTTCATTACAGTATTAAAGCCGTTCCGCGTCCGGGTTCATGCCTTTGTTGTCCTGCCCAACCATGTAGAGGTTACCCTTGTCGCTGTTGTAGCCTACATTTGATGGGAAGTGGCCGTTTCCTCCAGGGACGGCTTGTAGGTTCTGAATGGGGGCATATCTTGGGCCTTTGCGGTCCTTGTCAGCGGAAGGACCCCAATGTGGTTCTGATTTGATGGCGGCACTAACCTGTAAAACGATATTGAAGATTTGCATTACTATGCCTATTAGTCAAAAATATGTATAAAGCTGGTTTATTTTTCTACGCTGCTGATCCCAAAAAAGTTATCTGCATGGTGTCATGCAAAAACATGAATGTCATGGAAAAGTTCATGAACAAATATTTACAAAACAAAAGTGTAAAATTTACTTACCCCTCCCTTCCTCACAATCTGGACTATTGCACCAATTATGATTAGCATAAGGGGCGCCAATACCATCATCCAGCCGATGGCCTCAGCAAAGGGTGGGAAAGTGTAGTCTCCCAGCACGGCGGGTGAGTAATTGATAGCCATCATGATCACGATGAACTGCAGTTGTAAAACAGTCGAAGTTATTTCATTTCTCTAATTCCAATGCAGGTACACATTCAAACACTTCCTGCTTTCAATTCATTTATTTAAACTGTGCATGTGGATAGGCGCATGTTTATTAGTGTGACATAGCGAACATACTTAGCGGAATTCAGTGTTAACCGTTTTGATACCAACCTTCCGAAACAAACAATAACTAACAAGTATACCTTTCTGATATTGATTTTTCCAAGATGTAACACATTTTTAAGGGAACTAGTACATATTTTTAGATGTCTTTAAACCTTTTTATTGGAATTGAATTTCACACTTTAGGACAAATAGCATGCATAAAAAATAGCCATACCGATAGGTAATGAACTTAACCGTAACAGCGGGGATCATTCTGATACGGGTGAACAAGAAAATACTCCATGATGATATCTTAAACATAGCATATGTTAAAGGTTATTTCTTCGTATTAAATAGAGGCTAACATTACAGTCTGCCACCTCCTGGATTTGTTTATTTACCTGCGATTAAAATTACAGTTTCAACATAATAACGGTATTCGTTGATACAGTAGGCCTGACTTAAATGCATTTTGTTTTTAGAAAATAACACCTCTGGACTATCTATGCTTGAAATTGTGTCTTACGTATTAATGAAATGTTGAAAGTTGGATTTAAATTATCACTTTAAAATATTCGAAGATGCGGGATGCATTTATACCTGATTGGTATTTTTCTATTGCCAACATATTTCCAGTTTTCATTTCCTGACGTGAGATTATAACAGTGATAAGTACAGCCTACAGTTTAAAACTAACTGTGTTTTGATTTCCTAATATCATGTCACGCTTATATCTGTTATTTTCCATGGTACTATATACATATGGTATCAAATGGATCTTTTATATATGTTATTAATACCGTTATACATTTTCTAACTAGTGAAAAAAATACTTTAATCATTAAGCTTTATGACTAATTTACATATCATGTGAAGTGCTTATACACATTTTTTTTCTATATTAATCAACTGCTGTTTATTAATTTATACAGAGGACGTGAAATGAACCTATACTTATGGAGGTCCCTTTTATGACTTTATACTCACTAGACAATGTAGCTTAACTTATTTGAATTCCTTGACCAAACACAGACAAAATACGCTTACATTTGTTCAGCTGTACGACGTGTATTGATTGGATGAATGAACCTATAGGTATTCAGCTCCATGACTGGATTGATCATTTTTGTTGATACATTCAAAATAGGGGTACATATAATATCAGACGGAGTAGGCGAAATAAGGATACATATAGTATCATACGGAGTAGGCGAAATAGGGGTACATATAATATCATACGGAGTAGGCGAAATAAGGGTACATATATCATACGGCGAAGGCGAAATAAGGGTACATATATCATACGGAGAAGGCGAAATAAGGGTACATATATCATACGGAGGAGGCGAAATAAGGATACATATAGTATCATACGGAGAAGGCGAAAAAAAGGTACATATAATATCAGACGGAGGAGGCGAAATAAGGGTACATATATCATACGGAGCAGGCGAAATAAGGGTACATATCATGTCATACGGAGAAGGCGAAAAAAAGGTACATATAATATCAGACGGAGTAGGCGAAATAAGGGTACATATCATGTCATACGGAGTAGGCGAAATAAGCACATACACATTGGGCTTTATGACGATATAAGAAGAGGTTTAAATGAGACTATACACATTGAGATTTAAGACTCTTTATAGATTGGCTGAAATAAGCACATGCTTATAGAGCTACACGCATAATAGGTGAAATAAGCACATATACGTTGAGCTAAATTACTCAATTCAGTTTAGATGATATTATTAAGATTATCGAGCTTCGATGTCGATATACAGAGTATATAAAAGTAAGGCTGCATTCATTTAGCTATATACAGAGTAGGTGAACTGACCATACGTACATGTATATAGGCCAATACTTCCTGATATCTTCTAATGTGTACTTACAAAAATGGCTAGTGGAGTAACGACGAACCACATCGTGTAGAAATAAGCCCATACAATCGGACTTTTTTTTCCCAACATCAGTTCGATATCTTGGCGGAAGTTATTGATTCCTGTTGAAATGAGATCATATATTCATCACAACAATTTACATTTCAACTAATCATTGATCATGGTAACCAAAATATTACGGTATTATTCTACATGCCGTTACTGTTAGTTACCGATGATTTAAAGAATAACTACTAACGGACGAATCGCATTAATCTAAAACTTGATGGAACTCTATTTGATGCAAGTGATACTCGTATAATTGTCTACTGATTTAGATAACAATTATACTCAACGGGTTAATTTTTTTATATTAATAAATGGTTCAATTTTATATTTTAATACTATATTTACTTATATAACGCTATAAACTAAATATGGTTACTGATGACTCACCGTATACGTAGATAATTCCTACAATTTCAACGAAGCTGACGATCATGAGATTGTAGCTACCAGAGTACCAATCAACAAGTGTGAGCAGGTATATACCTCCCTGTAATCATTGAAACAGAAATTTAAAGTCAGTTACTTTCAAATCGTCAAGATAAGATAAATAAGAATCTACAAAATCTTCGTTGCAAGAGTTATTTATTTATTTATCCTATCCAAAAGGAAAGTTGAAATAGTTGAGTTAATACTGTGCAGTACGCCTATATTAAATTAAAACACGTTGATTTTAACTTAGTATTGGTTTGATATATATGTTTTCAACAGCGTGGTATATCTCTTGTGGATCCTTTAAGTTACCAATATTTGTATCTTATCATAATGCATTAAGGTCCTTTTGTTGAGTAAAGAAAAAAAATGTATAATTGATAATAATAATAATAATAATTCGAGGTTCTTATATACCGTTTTATCACAAACTAGTTCGTAGGTCGTCTCAAAGCGGTTCGTAAATTATAATCCGTCCCAGTTATATATATAGGGCCTTTGCAACCAGCCAATATCTTTCTCAACTCCCTGGAAAGCACATTTACAGCTGAGTTTACTGGAACAAGCGGAGTAAAGTATCTTGCTCGTGCCGTGACTCGAACCCTCAACCCTTCGGTCACGAGCCCGGCGTCCTACCACTAGACTACCATGTCTCCAATATCGAATTGTATACATGCCGTAGAAATGTATTTTCAGAATGTTTCTTGAGGTGTTGGTTTTAGTGGGAAGTTGTCAGTAAGGATTATCGTCAGCTTACCTTACACGTCTGGGGTATACCCAATACGAACCCCACCATACAGCAGAAGAATGTAAAGAGCGCCTTTCTACTCCTTAGCTGCCTAGGAAACACGTCTGTGATGCCGCTGATGACTGTCTCCATCATGGCGAACTATCGAGTGAAAATATTACTTTATACACTCCATAAACAGTTATATCAATAATCGACTTTACATTTACAATGAGATCTGCATCCTTACAACAAAAGTATAATACTGTGTTTTGCACCTTTTTCGTAGAGCGATGTTTTCGTGATTTATTTTTCTCATTTTACTACGCTCCCCTAGCCGTAGCTGGTGCGAAAACAACCTTTTTATGTTATTTTTGCTGTTATGTACAAGCAATGAATAGCGTATTTTTCTATCAATTAGATTGATTAGAAAAAGAGAGGTCGTAGATCTATTGTAATAACCTATGACAAATCCTTGTATAAAGTTGTATGACTAAACCAATGTGTACGAAATCTAGGATGTGTGGCCAAAATTTTAATATGTTCTGAAGAAAAATATTTTTAAAAACTCGCAAAATAAGCCATAACTAATGTTTATGTTGAATATCGATCGAGTAATAAAAAAACGATAAAATGACAAATTGTCACAAACAATGGGTGTCATTACTATTGTTAACGTAAAACTTCGGGTACATGCTAATGATATTCAGTCGCCAATTTAAAGATCTTGCGAACATTTATTCGGTCTCAAGTAGACTAGGAATAAGAAACTGTTCGTACATGCGCAAATACAGGTTCTATCAAATATGTCATTATAACTAAGCATTCGCAAAAATAGTGAAAATAAGAAAAAGTAGATTCAATATTTTCACTGTCATGATGACAACTTACCTGGCTGTCAAGTCCGAGAGTAAACAACATGAAGAAGAAGAGGAAGGCGAATATTGGTGGACTGGGCAGTTTGGCAATGCCTTCTGGGTAGGCAATGAAGGCCAACCCTGGACCTGTGTAGCAACATAAGGTAGAGTGTTTAATTATAATATATCTAAGCCAACATAATATTGTATGTCAATGAATTAGGCGTTTTTGGTATCATTCAGCTTTAATGAATTTGTAAGTTGTACAATACGCTGTGCAAATGCAAGTGAAGTAAGACATGCCCAATAGACTTAACCTTAATATGCCTGATAACGTATCACATATGACAACAGGTATCAATCGAAATTGATGTATGAGTTATAAACAGTAGAGCACGATAATCTTCCTGTCACCATTTTTAGAACAAAATAGCCAAAATATCTCATAAAATACTAATTATATACCAGTGAAACACCTGGATTACTGCTGACTTGAATATTATGAATTAGTGGTGGCTGGATTAGCGAGGGCTTATGGTGGTTGGGTCAACAAAGGTCAAATGTAAATTGCTTTTGACGTCCTTTCTGGGGTGAAAATACCTTAAGTTATAACTATATCACTCAATGTTATATTATAAATCCGGAATAAAAGTATGTCTGATGATTGTTTGTTATGTTTTTATGTCTCCTCAGTGTTAGTCAATGTGATGTGTTTAATTATCCAATACCTACCGCTATCTGCCACCTTATCGATTGGCACGTTGGTGGTATGGGAAATGTAACCAAGTAGTGAGAAAATAGCGAAGCCAGCAAACACACTGGTACCACAGTTGATGAACGATACAATCACAGCGTCACTGAAAACAAAGGATGAATTCGGATTGTTGAATTCATTTCTATCAATGGCTTTAGTAATACTGTCTTAAAATGAAAGGTGTGAGCGATTTAACGTGGTTTATTTACCTAAACTCGTTTCATGATATTAGGACCACTTGATTGCCACTATTGCAGGAACAGGTGATAGGAAAACTGTGTTTTATCTACATTCCAACCAATTACAGAATTCGAAATCAATTTGTACATTTTCTAGAATAATCATATTACACAGACAACTAATAATCTGTTGAGTTTTATCAAATAACCAAAAGAAAATCAACCGTTGTTACTTTCCTTCTTGCTATTTCTTTTACACATTTTCTTCACGGAAAACACTTTATCGCTAGATGGTCATTTTGCCAGACGGTAATAAGATCATTCGGGCAAGCTGAATTGATTGAATTTGAGTCAGAAGTGTTGTATAATAGATTAATAAAACATCTATGAATAAAGAATCTTCTTGGTTTTTTGTTTGTTTTTGTTTTTGTTTTTTTAAGTGCCGGTGTGAAACAGCATCAAACTCCAACTTAAATCACTTATTAAACAAAACTATTTTATATAAAATGGCATGTTTACAAATATTTTCTTGGTTGCTGTTCACGTGACAGGCTGATAATAAAGTGATCCTAGAATCATAATTACATATTAATAATTGATAAAAGTATATATATTTATATATAAATGCTCTTTCAAACCTACAGTTTAATGTATTACCATCGGACAATGATTCTGAGGGTTTATATGGAGTTAAACAAATTTTCTTCCTTATATTATTCCACTGAATACATTTTGATTTGTTAGGCAAATTATAACCGTCAGTATATTAGAGTGGGACGTTTGGTTAACTTACCGCAGACAGTTGTTGTTAAACTTATTGTAACTAGCCATGGTGAGAAGACCCCCAAAGGCTGGTCCGAGCGAGTAAAATATCTGGGTGGCAGCATCCCCCCATACCTGTAACAGCAGGGATTATGATGTAGGACTGATATCATAGAAATCACAGTACTGTGTTATTGTTTGATAAAAGAGTGCGTAAAGGAGACGTGTTATCTGAAATTATTGCTTTTTAAGTTACGCGTCTCTTCTTGTTTCCTTATTTGATGAAAGTTATAAACACAATTGAGAAAACATTGCCTGAAGTAATTGAAGTTTTGTTTTAAATGTCTAAAATCCATCATGGATAATAAATGATCAATTCAACAGTCGACGATAACGCCAATAACGTCGTAGTGTTTTGAAATATATTTGGTGTTATGAAAAGAAAACAATTCTTCTAATGCGATCTGCGTATTTGGTATATGTATGACATTTTTTCTAAATGACTAATCTCCGTCGATCATCCCACATTTTTATATTAGTTGACTGGTAAGCATCATGGAGAACGTAGCACACACATAGGTGTTAGCACCTTTAAAGAATTGGTAATAGACACAGTACGAACAAAAATGAATTGCACTGCATCATGGTATAGAACTATTTTCATTCTATGTATAAACATAAAAAACAATATTTGCGCATTATTCTTTTTTTATTCCGCATGAAAAAAGAAAAAATAGATGTATATTAAACATAGATGAAAAAAATCCTTCTCTGAAACGATTATTCATATCTAAAAGTTACCTCCCTTTTGAAGATGCAAATTCCACAGAAAAAACCTCTAAATAAATAACTATTCAGATTCCCTTAACGAAACCAACAATTAATTCATTAAATATTAGATAAAAAGTGGCTAAATATTATTATGAATAAATGAAATATAGAATACCTTTGGGTTTTTCAGCAGCTCCCATTTAGGGAAGATGTAGAACTCGATTCCTTTGTAGTAGCCTGGGAGGGTGACGCCACGGATCAGCAGAATGAGGAGGACGACGTAAGGGAAGGTGGCGGTGAAATATACTACCTAGAACACGCCATTACGACATGGTTATGTCAATGTCTCATAGTCTCATATGCTATTTGAATTAAAACCAAAGTCTTCTTCTTCTCATACAATCCGACTAATTCATTTTTTGAACCACTTGAAGCTATTTATCAGCAAAGCCGTCCAATATATAAACACACTTTTTGTACAATATAGAATTCGAATACAAATGTTAATACGATAATTACATATCGGTTGATTTTGTTTTGTAAACTTGAACGTATTTCTTCTTTCTGAAGCTTGTATCAACTACGACTTATATACATATATTTCTTTTTGGAACCAGCTCTCTTTTAAGTTAATAAGTGTATAATGTATTAAAATACGCTATACAATATTCGTAAATTGAGTAGAATCCTCAACAATACACATTTATAAAAAAAATCTGTCTCAATGTCAGATTACTTCATATCAATATTTTTCATCTTGAAGGATAAATTAAGTATTTGCTTTTGACTATTTGGAAAGTAGCTCCAGTTTTGTTACTAGTTATACAATTAACTTTATTTCATTTATCTTACCTTTCCCGATGACTTGACACCTTTCATGAGACAGAAGAAGATGAAGAGCCAGCAGATAAGGAGACAGAGGACGTTTTTCAGACTCACACTTCCGATGTCTTCAAGACCGTCAGACTCGTGAACCCTCAGTACGTACCGACTGTTGATCAAGACAACAAACTTTTGTCAGTAATAAAAACAAACTGTCTCCTAATCACCAATTTGTCTAATGTAATAATATGTTGTCATCATTTTTGTTTTGATGTCCTACTGGTTTTTCTTTCTGACGACATTTTGATATCGAATATGGTTTAAATGTTAACCCTATATTACCGTATATCAAATATACATTTAAGTCGTTGAAGTGGATCTAGAGGTGCTACAATGGCAATTTTTATTCTCAACGACAATTGTAAGTGTAGAGAAATGTACATATGTATCAACACGTTGTAATACAAAAGGGACATTAATGTTGCAAATTATTTATCTTGTTTAACATCAAAAATAAATTTCCCTAATGATACTAATTAATTGTTAGTTACAAAATTTGTTTCAAAAGTAAAACAGTTATTTTTGAAAAAATGACATAGTTGATCATGACCTAGGTATCATCATGACCTAGATACCTAGGTCAACCATCCATTGGAAATCATATTCAACAAAACAGTCATCTAAAGATATGACCAATAAAATGTATGACCCCGAAATAAACCGGAAATGGGGATCACAAAAGTTATAAGACTATATGTATCTAGTATGGCTACACATGTTTGCAAATCTGATCAATTCAAGTGAAAATATTATCTTAAAAATTATTTCACGTCATGTAACGGCTTTACAATATAATCAAGCAAATATCTATTTCAGAAATATAACTCACAGTGACATGCCGTAATTATATATACTGAAGTCTACCTCCGATATTTTTTGCGTTCATAGTACATGCAAATATTAATTTCTTCAATAATAAATCCCTAAGCTTATATAAACTTACTTCCAGTATTCGCTACTAGCTGTCGCGAATTTGATATCACAGTCTTCGGTATGATCTGCTAGGACTGTGGAGTTGAGTTGTGATACAGATGTGAAGGTTTGGTTGAGTAGCGTACTTAGAGTTCCCAGTATATTAGACAGACATGTCTGGTCTTTCAGTCCTGCAATTCATATAGAGCCAGTAGGGAGGTTAGTTTATATAACAAACCTATTTTTACTACGGCAGTTGTATTCAGTTACACATTTTAGATATTATTCATATTTTCTTATATTTCAATATTTTTACATCTATGCTACAGCCTGACAGCCCAGACTCCCTATACAGACAGACATTATCATAACAAGCTCTACATTAACAACCCTTCCCTATCCTCCTACATTCTTTATAATTATAATTAACGGATAATAAGGCGTTAACTATTTTGTGATATAATGAAATTCCAGAGACTGTTTTACTTTTGATTGTGTCTCCCGCATACAGTTTGGCAGATTTATTAACATATTTGTCCATTATTTCCGGTAGTACCTGCCCTATTCAACAGCACATTTGTTTTTTTAAATGTTTTGTATCTTACTTTTTTAATGTTTTCAAAATGAAAACAAAATCATTGTAGGCTTTCTATTTGTTGATATTTGCAATGAAGATAAGGTTATTTCGAAATGTGTTGCCATATTCGTATTTTTGGCTAGGCGCGTTCAAAAATGAGAAGTTTAACTTTGATTTTAACTTCTTGGTTTAAGTTATATAAGACATATTCAAAGAGATACTGTTTAAACTCTAATCAGATTTCGACGAAGTTGTGATTAATTAAAGAAAACATCCTTTTACACTAAAATATTTTGCAATCAATGTTGTTTTTCTTACGACCATTCTTGTAACGAGGCTGGCCAAGTTACGTGAATAAATCTACAGGAACCTCTACCCTCTACATAACTTACCTAGTGTAGCGTTGACCTTCATCGTCTCATTCATAGATGAAAGGTCAGGGTACGGTTCATCCCTACACTTATCCGTGTTCCAGGCTTTTCCACATTTCTGCCATGGCAACTCGTCGTCAAGGTTGACGAAGGACACGAACATGTAATAGACGGCGTACATGATGATGACGTTGTAATACGTACACACCATGGCACTGATCAAAATCATGGCCCAGCCGATACCTGAAGGTCAAGGTCACAAAACAAGGATAATCACAAGATAAAACTGAGAACAATGAGTGTAGATGCACGTGCAAGATATCTGAAGGTTAAGATCCAACACTGAGTGTTACGGGTATAGAATGTACAAATGGTGTATATTATCAATATCATGCGTCAGCTAATATGTTTTCAAATCAAAAAGTTCGATTGCAATGTAACGATAGAGATATCTCAGTAGCAAAATTAAATCTAAGGGTAGTTTAAATAGAATGGATAATTAACTGCGGTCTATACGTATGCTAACAAACCCAAGTATGCTTTGATAATATTATACGATATGACTACCTACACTATATTAACATCATATGTTCATCTTACAGCATGATGTACTGTTCACGACATGTCAGGAAGTATATTACTACCACTATCAGTAATACTGCACTAGATACAGTAGATTTATTATGTATCCAAGGGAACTGTCTGTGAACGTCAAAGAGGAAAATGGGACACCTACATGTGGTGAAACTTTGTTTTGTAATGTTCTAATAATAGGTTATTCCTGGCTAAACTAAAGAGCGGAGTTATTGGCAACATGTCAGGTTACGATGTCTGTTTTGTGTCTACACTATTTAGCTCCGGGTAATTCACTTGTGCTTTTCATCACTGTCTGTTTTCTATGGGAGATTTTATAAAACGTTATGCAGTATGATATCTGACTGGGTGGGAAATCTCTTTAAATGCAGTTCACTTAATGGGAAACCGTCCTAATGCATCGTACGTGTAAGGTTACATGTCATTGTAGGTAATGCACACAACCACACATCACGACATAAACAAGAGAGAATAACAAGTGGCAACAAACCGTTATTCCAGCTCAAACTCGATAAAACAAGGGTACACGATATGAGCAGAAGTAATATTGATATGGTTGAGTTGTTGAGTTTTGTGGTCGGATTTTACATTCGCCATCACCATGGAAACAAACTTTGTCCATCTTCCCACCAGCTGACTTTTGTTTCATATGAAGCTGAATCTATTTCAGAGATTTTCAGGGCAGATAATATACACTTTATCAATTCATTCAATATCACTATCATATTGATCATGATTTCATTGATATAAAAAAAACTTACCCATGAAAAGTGGACTGAGTGCCCAGGCAGTAACAGGCCCCTGAGAGGAGAACTGACCCACACATAGCTCCAGGAAGAAAAGAGGTAGACCAGCCACCAACAACATGATGACATAGGGAACGAGGAAAGCACCTGTAACAAACAACGTATTACTTAGTCTAATGCACAATAAGTGTAGTCATTTCTCCTCCATTGCGGACTCATCCGTGCTATTTAAAGTCAGAAATAACAATTCACGTGTAAAGTGTTCCGAAATTTATATATTAATAGCTAAAAGGTGGAGCCTATTATGCTCATATAATGTTTCAAATTCACAACTTTAGGCTGCATCCGATCATTCATTCTAAAACTAGCGTTTCATATAAACCGTTGCAGCTACACTTTGAACAAGGTTGTGGCCAACTTCAGGGATAGACATTTCATTAGCAATGCCAACCTCCCTGTTACGTTACATAAAATCACTAAATGTAACGTTATATATAATCACTAGATATGACGTTATATATAATCACTAGATAACGTTATATCTAATCACTAGATGTAACGTTATATATAATCACTAGATGTAACGTTATATATAATCACTAGATGTAACGCTATATATAATCACTAGATAAAACGTTATATATAATCACTAGATATAACGTTATATAAAATCACTAGATGTAACGTTATATATAATCACTAGATGTAACGTTATATATAATCACTAGATATAACTTTATATATAATCACTAGATTAACGTTATATATAATAACTAGATGTAACTTTATATATTATCACTAGATGTAACGTTATATATTATCACTAGATGTAACGTTATATATAATCACTAGATATACGAAGATAGTAAACATCTACTTTAAGATTAAGTAATTTGGTGCACATAACCAGAAGTAAATATTTACAACAAAATTGTGGTTATTTCGTTCATTCAGAACTCATTAGCAAGAACCTATCTTTAACATAGTCCAATAAGCTTACAGGCTGTTATTTCTATAGTACTTACCCCCTCCGTTCCTGTAACAGAGATAGGGAAAACGCCACACATTTCCCAATCCTACTGCATATCCTATACATGACAACAGGAAGTCCAGTTTTCCTGTCCAATTCCCTCGCTCCGGCTCTTCCTTCAAATAGAAATATGTATTTGAATAAAACGTTAATAACTTATGCAACAATTCAGCCATTGTCTTTGCTTTTTGTTTTAATTCGTAGCGATATATAAACATAATACCGAAAAGCAGTAGGGAATGTGTTTTTGTTTTTGCTAGGCTGGAAAGAAAATGGTTACATTGAAAATGTTTGTCATGAGATCTGGTAAACCGTAGTTGTTTTTTATCAAAAGATAATGCCTAAATCGCAAGAGTTTGTCATGAGCCATAACAGGTTACATCGTATATTGTGCCATAAGTGACTACGGACAAACTGCAGATGCTTTTCATGAGAGACAACGGACCGTCACTGTACCAAAAATGATGTATTTTATACCATAGTATCAATGTTTGTCCATTATTTTCATAAAAAGGCATCATCTACTTTTATTTTCTATTACAAGTTGATATTTCTAGCCCGCGATTCAATAAATAGAAATACTATTAGGGTTATATAGGCTCTTTAAAAGAGCACTCTGGTGTTTTGTCTAATATCGTGGGATACACGATCAGTATAAGCAGGAAATTACACACATTTCAAATGTTTTAGACTCAAGATTTTAGAATAAGTAGGTACTGATCAAATTTCTTCTCCAAATACAGCTGATATACAGATGAATTGACATCAAAGTGTCATGTAGTGAAAAGTAAATACATAAAAAATACTTCTTTGAATCGTATGTCAATTTCCTGGCCCGTCTCCCCACCAGTGTCCCGTTTTGGGTACAGTCCCGTTTTGGGTACACTGACGTTAGACAGCGGGTAACTGTGTTTCACGAGAAACAATGGGTAAACTGTATTTGTCCTGTGAGAGAGCAGTCAATGGCTACACGGTAAAAGTTTGTCATAAGAAAAAATAGGTACACAGTTCCTGTCCTTTGAATTTCAATGTGAATTTTATTGAGGAGTTGAGTTGTTGAGTTTTTTGGTCGGATTTTACATTCGCCATTAACATGGAAACAAACTTTGTCCATCTTCCAACCTGCTGAATTTTGTTTCATATGAAGCTGAAAAGCTTTTCAGGGCTGGTAACATAAACTTTTTCAATTCCTTCAATATCACTTTCATATGCATATGTAGGTCGATAATTGGCTGCCTTTAAATACAAAGAACTGTATTGATCACGTCGATCGTATATTCCATCCCGAATCAAGGTCATTACAGACTTCTATATCAGCTGCAAACTGAATCTTTACTTGTGAATAGAGACACTATAAAAGGAAGAGGAAATCATACACAATGGTGATTGTCATGCAGATATTTGCTTGGTGAAACACTGGACATAAAAAGACAAGATAAAGTAATCACGAAAGAAAACGATGAACCAAACATAATACTGCAGAAATATATATCTACACTGTAAACGAATGACCGAAAATCTGTGATAACGTGCGTGGCATTTTCTATGTTCATCAATGTATTGTGTTCACTGATACGCATAATGATAAATAGGACATCTTCTGGATAAACAGTGGTATGAGGAGTTTGTGTACAATAACCCTCCAGTCAGTCAGTCAAGCGAGCTTCACTTTATCATGCATCCCTACCTATACAACCGGTTTACTGAATGTGTCTGACGAGTGAAGATTGAGCACATACATTAAACATAAAGGCAAATTACAACTCACCTTTTACTTATGTATTTATATACATGTTTAGTTGGGAAAACATAAGTTGAGACAATAAATTGTTGTGTTAAATAAATAGACTTCTCGAATGTTTAAACGAAAAAATAATGATCTGCTCTCATAACCTCGGGACTTACGAATACGTCTGACGAGGGTGTCTTAACCCAAGGAAAATAGTTATCATTTGTTTAACCATTTTTATTGCAGTATTGATAATTCATCTCGTCTCCACTTGCTATTGTATAGGATGGATTCATTAAACGTAGAAATTTGATTAATTTTATACAAGTAGAAATGGTCTCTTATTCAACTAAACATGTGGACGTGTACACCTGAAACCACCTCAGTTAATATAAATTATAATACCGAATAAAACATGATGACAAAACACACACGTGATTAGAATACGTGAATGTTAACTAGGAAACATACGGCCCTTTCCTCTCAAGTATTGTATATACACATGTATGTATGTGTATATACATACTGAGCGCCAGTCAGCACAGATATAGTCATATGTACTTATAGTTGATAAGCCGCGTCACAGAATTGTTATAATAAAACTTCTGTTCTTACATTCATGACTTTATTCGGGACAATACCGTTTAAATGCGCTGTCATTAATGCATCAAGTAGATTATATACACTCAACACGTTGTCAAGTGACGTTTCAGACACGTTAGATATCTCATAAAGACTTGCTGCTTTTTCAGGACAAGACAAAAACACATGTCTAGACGACGGCTACTGTGGCAATCACTTTACGCACGAACATACATGGTATAAACAAGTACCATTTCTTAATTTTCCTGTAACACGCTTATATGGCTGCAGTGTGATATAGGATAAATATGTTACTCTGGTGATTGCAGCAACAACAAAAGCGTACACAAATAAGGAAAAACAAAACACGAAACAAACATATTCAATAGATAGGTATTTGCCTAATATTACGAGGTCTTACGACTTCTTCTCTTTTCATAGTTTGCTAGGTATTTGTGAGAAAATTAGCAGTTATAAACGTTTCCTTACTATAAACTCGTGAAGGCTTTTTGCAAATCATGATTTACTTATACTTTATGCCTCCAAAGTCTCAAAACTACAAAGTCCACCACAACCTACTTCTTTGTTCTCTTCTACATGAAAATTAACTAACATAAATCATATCTACTTGATTTTAAGTATAGCATGCCCATCACTCGCTTAACACTGCTGTTATTTCTGATTTTATCGCTCGTATAAGCCAAATCCGTATGCTCCGATTGATATTAATGCTGATTAATAGTAGCAAATTGGTTCCGACAAAAGTCTGCTTTTATGACATTTCTGGTAATTGAGTCATTGAAATGCACATTTAAATACGGGTTTGTATTAGAAATAGGATATAACAGGAAAGCTTTCAGTAAACGGGCTAATGAGGAAATTATAAATCATTCTAGTAGTCTACCTGTCTTCAATATTATGTTTCAACAGTAGTTTCCTCCAAGTTGTTAAATGCATAATTTAGGTGTTTTACGCACCTGCCCCTTGACGAAACAGCTGTACGAAACAAAACACATTATTGAAAGAAATATCAATGATAATGTGTAATATTTTCTTGCTTTGGTTAAAAGAAGTTAAATCTATTTTATAAAGGTAGGTAGAATAATATCCTAATATTTGTGGAAAAACTAAATTTCTTAAAACAACTCTTATTGAAAAACAACGCTTAGTTATTTTTTACCAACAGATATGCTTGACGGAAATGTATGTTGTTTTTTTTTAAATAGACGTAATCAAAGAAACTATTACTGTCCATGTTTGTTGACATCGGGATTTATTTCGAAAACAAATTAAATTGTTTAACATGTTTTACAATATTTCGCGTCAAAACAACTAACCAGTACATATCCAAACTTCAGGATATTGAAGAAAAAAGAAAAAAGGAATGTAAGATAAAGTATTATATGGCATTTAAAATGTACCAATGTTTGAATATAAAGGTAATCTTAGTGTGTTTGACCTACCCCTCGTCAAAGCATCTAAACCAAATCCCTCTTTTGAACATCGATTGAATATTTAATGTTTGTCGCACTCCCTTGATGTTAGTTTTATGTGTTTGGCAGGTTTTAACAGGTGATGTGGACGGGGGCGATGGGAATCACAACGGGCATTATGTGTGGACATTAACAGCCGAGACTGGCACAGTCATTACTGACACCGTGTCATCTCGGCCATTATAACACACGCGCATGCGTAAACCGAGACAGTCAGTGACCAAACAATTCCGAAGGTTCTATTTGTGGCATTTAATAGCGTTCTTTACAACTCAAACAGGGGAAATGTCTCTGAGTTGGTGGAGTGTACTTAATGTGTACATGAGATATTTTGTGTCAACCTAATTGGTTCATAGTGGATTTTTTCTCTCGCTTTTTTGGGAGCAAGATATACAATATATACCAGTACGTTCTTTAATATAAACTTTATTTCATTCCAAATTAAGTTGCATTACATCACATAACATACAAAGTACAGAGGAATGGGATCCGGAAACAAGTTGAAATAACTTATATAAATCCGTTTCCGAGAATGTATCTCATTAATTTAGGGCATGATGGTATAGTTACTGAATTCTATGGAAAGAAATATAAACACTTAAAACAGTAGCTTACTTTTATACGTTCTTTATGATTACATTGCAAGATACATTATAAATCATGACATCGCACACTTAATCCGGAAATAAACATTTTGAGCTTTATTGTAATACATCGTTAATAATCTTGCTGATTCTTTAATAAATCTAAAATTAACTAAACAAGAGCAAAAGAAAAAAGAGTTTGCTAGACAAAATTATATTTTCCTATTATATATAATTATGAAGATTATGTATTGTTTATTTTCAGCATCACAAATTAATTCAACTATATGATATCCAAAAAGGTAAAATAATTGTGAATAACTACGGAATGTCTGGGGTTACAAATAACCTGCCTATCGTGTCTGTATACACCCCTTATACTGTTTGTACATTGCTGGTATTGTATTGTATTGTATTGTATTGTCTGTAGATATTGATATATATCTCACTTTTGAAACCAATGGGTCAAAAGACCCAATGTAATAAAGAACTTGAACTTGTATAACATACACATCTTATATAAATTATATAAGGAAGGCTTTACGGATTAACTCACCTGATTAACTTTTTACTTAAGTACAGGTGTGGCAAGGTACAGTTTATATTGGAGTAATACCCAAATCTATCACACACGACCAAACTCTTATTGAAACTAATTTAGTGTCCAATGAGGGGTTTCGAGATGCATGTATCTCAAGTAGGCCTTTCAGACACGTAACTTTGGTAAG